CAAAGTTCCCCTCGGTGCTGGAGCAGGGATTAAAATCCAGCTCTGACTGCAGTTGGTTCCTGAGCGACTGCTGCGCCGCCTCACCCACCCCACACCTACCTCACCCTGACTGGGATGGAGGTAGGAGGATTTTCTGTTCTCAGTGGGAACTGAGGGTCTCCCAGCTCTACCCAGATCTGCCCATTGGCACAGAAGAAGTAGTACAAGCCAACTATAGTAGAGAAGTGGGAGGGGAGGGGAGAGTGGGGGTGGCTCTGGGCTACCTGACACCCCCTCCCACCCCCTAGCTCCCTTCTCATTCGGGCCTCAAGTGTGGGTGGGATCTGAATGAGAGAGCTGCCACCACTGTGCCAGAGCTCTTGGCATTGGTCACTAGTTCTGCTCCATCCAGCCCAGCACCTCTTCTCCCCATCCCTCTCCTCGGTTCCCCAACACACAGTGGAGAGGCCACCATCAGCGCAGGAATAGATAGATGTTACCTGGGCCAGGCAAGGTGTCCTGGGGAAAGAAAGGTCTTGGAGACGAAGGGGCAGCCTGTGGAGAAATGGGGGCCTCAGTCTCAGTCAGGTGAGGGGAAAGGTTTGGCGCTGTTGCTTCCACAGAATGCATTTTTGTCTTCTCCCAGGCTCCTGAGAGGAGCCTGACTGCGTACCTGTCTTCACTGCCTGTCCCTGCCTTATCTGTGAGAGGCAGATAAGGGTGCCTGCTGACAGGACTGAGTGAAATAATGCAGTCATCAATTTAGATAACTTGAAGTGGTAATCTCTTTGTGGCAATGGTGGTTGTTAATGCTATTATTAAGTCAAATGGGGCGTGTGTCTCCAGCCTTCCTGAGCTCTCTAGCCTCCTCAGCCTCACCCCTCCATTTAGCTGGCCTTCCAGAGCCTCTGTCTTCTAAGTCCTTCCAGAACGCTTGTACCTCCTAACTGATGTCATGCCTCCAACCCTGTGTGTGTGCTGTTTCCCCTTCTTAGACTTCTTTCTCCGTCTTGTTCTCAGTTTGATGGCATTTTCCTTGATGCCATCCTCCTTCCATGATGCCATCCTCCTTCCACTCAGCCTCCTCAGTGCCCCAGGCTGAGTTAGAGGTGTCTTCTGGGCCCCTTTGGCCCCCAGTGATTCCCATTATCACAGCCCTGAGCACTGTGGCGGTCGCTGCCCTGTCTGCATCTGTCTCCTGTAGGCTGTGAGCTCCTGAAGAGGCAGCCCTAGATCTGTGTCCACTCTGTGTCCCCAGAGCCCAGTCCTATGCATAGCCTAGAGCATGAGATTCATGGGTGCTTGTGATAGGGAAGGAGGGAGGAAATCAGCCCAGGGCTCAGCTTACCCCTAGTCTGGGGGAGGTCACCGCAGACAGCCTCATCCCAGTTAAGCAGAAGAGGTGCCGGGGCTGCCGAGGGAAGGACTGTGCCCCTCTGCACTGACTGTCCATCCGGCCTGGATCTTTCTCTCCAGGTAGACCAAGCAGATGGGACCTCTCCCTCGGTGGGGGATGGAGGTGATAAGGGGTGCGTGTGTGTGCAGAAATGGGAGGCAGGCTCTTGGCTCTGAAATTGTTTAGCGGTTGCCATAAACCACAACAATAGGCTTGACTCCCTGGGGCTGAGCTGATGGGCACTGGCTCAGGCAGAAACTTGGGTTAGAACGCATGCTTGGATGTGTGACCTTAGCGAAGTTACCGGTCCTCTGTGCCTCAGTTTCCCCATCTGCAATGGTATGTAGGTGTGGGGGGTAATAATCCCATTTCACAGGGCATTTTGAGAGCAACTAGAGAGAATGCCAGTTAAACACCCGGGCAGTAGATGCTCACTGCTGCTTCGTCGATTCATCCAACAGAGATGAATGGCTATGCCCTGGGCACACAGACAGACCCCGTCCCAGCCTCTGAAGAGAGGGGCAGGGGCAGCATCAGGTGGGGCCTTTTAGGCCATGGAAAGGAACTTGGCCTTTACCCTAAGAGCAATGGGAAGCCAGGGAAGGATTTTAAGTCCAGAAGTGACATGGTTAGATTTGTTTTTTGTTTTTTTTTTTAGATGGAATTTTGCTCTTGCCGGGGCTAGAGTGCAATGGCGCGATCTCTGCTCACCGCAACCTCCACCTCCCAGGTTCAAGCGATTCTCCTGCCTCAGCCTCCTGAGTAGCTGGGATTACAGGCATGTGCCACTACGCCCGGCTAATATTGTATTTTTAGTAGAGACGGGGTTTCTCCGTGTTGGTCAGGCTGGTCTCGAACTCCCGACCTCAGGTGATCCACCTGCCTCGACCTCCAAAAGTGCTGGGATTATAGGTGTGAACCACCGCACCCAGCCAGATTTTGGTTTTAAAGACGTATCTTTGGTGATTATGGGAGAGACAGGTTAGGGGAAATAATGCTCCCAATGTTCTCTCTCAAAGAAACTACCTAGAGGCTGGGATGAGTTACAACAAACATCCTTTAAAGTACATTCCTGGCCAGGTGCAGTGGCTCACGCCTGTGATCCCAGCTCTTTGGGAGGCCAAGGCAGGTGAATTACCCGAGGTCAGGAGTTTGATACCAGCCTGGCCAACATGGTGAAACCTTGTCTCTACTGAAAATACAAAAAATTAGTTGGGCGTGGTCGTGGGTGCCTGTCATCCCAGCTACTTGGGAGGCTGAGGCAGGAGAATAGCTTGAACCTGGGAGGAGGAGATTGCTGTGAGCTGAGATCACACCACTGCTCTCCAGTCTGGGCAACAGAGCGACACCCTGTCCTCAAAAAATAAATAAGTAAAAATAATAATTAAGTACATTCTTGAGCTCTCACAGAAGTAACAGAAACACCCTCCAGCCAAGAGTGAAGAGAGAACTGAAGTCAGGCTGGCAAACAAGATGAAGCCACGGCAACCTTAGGCTGTTTACACATTTCAGAAATCTAAAGCCAGGAGTTTCAATGGCCACTCAACAGATGGGAAAGAAGGTCTCGGGCCTACACAGTTACAGTTTGAGGAGTTGGAACTTGGCATCCCCCGACTCAACACATAAATCTGGGACCCTCCGAGGGCTGCAGCCTCAGTGAATAGGAAGATTGGCTAGAAGAAAGGTCCGCCCCCACCAGCAAAGGGAGACAGCATTTCCGATGGGAAAAAAAGACTCCCTAAAAAATTATAAATACTGGTCTGCCATCACACAAACTTTGGGTTTGATGGCACACCACTACCTTTGTGGTCCTGGAAACCATAAACTTAAAAAAGTAACTTAAATGGTCTCAGGGTGGTAGTTCCCCCGGGAACCTGGCCAAAGTAAATGAAAAATCCTTCCTGGAGCAATCCCACAGTCCCTTTGGATCTCTCAAACGTGAATTTGTAATATGATTGCAAAACACACAGGAAAATAAGCCAGTGTGAGCAGCAGGCTCCAGAAACAAAAAAGAGCAGAATTAGTTTCCCTGGTAGTCTAAAATGCTGGAATTATGAGATATAGAATAAATAATTATGTTTAAAATGTATAAACGAATTGAAGATGGACTTGAGGCAGGGAACATAATACTACCCCAAATAACTAAGATTTGAAAAAGAACCAACTGGAATTTCACAAAATGAAAAATACAATCATTGAAATGAAAAATTCAGTAGACAGGATAAGTAGCAGGGCAGACACACCTAATGATTGAGAGAGCTGGTGAAATGAAAGAAATTACTCAGGATCTAACAGAGGGTCCAAGAGATAGTATGGAAGTTAGTTAAGAGAGGTGAAATATGGAATATAAAGGTCTAACAGAGAAGAGAGAAGAAGGTGGAAAGAATGGAATGGAGAGTGTTCCGACAGACTTGGGTAAAGATGGTGCTGGCCTGGACCAGAAGGTATTGGGCATAGAAGGGGTTGATTGAGAGATGTTAGGAAGTAGTCTGTGGCTTATACCTGTAATCCCAGCACTTTGGGAGGATGAGGTGGGAGGATCACTTGAACCCAGGAGTTGGAGACCAGCCTGGGCAACATATGAGACCCCATCTCTGTAAAAATTCTTAAAAGAAAAAAAAAAAAGTTAAGAAGTAGAATTGATGGGGTTTAGTGATGGAGGGGATGCAGAGGCCAGAGAAGGGATGTGGCAAAGATGATTATCAGATTTTTGGCTTGAGGAATTGGGTAGAGGAGTGTTGCTTATTAAAATGGCAGACAGGCATGGTGTCTCACGCATGTAATCCTAACACTTTGGGAGGCTGAGGCAAGAGGATCACTTGAACCCAGGAGTTCATTGAGACTAGCCTGGGCAACATGGTGAGATCCCATATCTACCAGAAAAAAAAAAAAAAAAAAAGAAAGAAAGGCAAAGACTGGGGGAGAACAGATTTGGGAGAATGAACAGGAGTTCAGTTTTGAAAAAGGCATGTTTCAGTTTGCCTGGGAAGATCTGCTGATGCATCTCAGAGCAGGAGACTTTAGAGCTAGGCCTTAAGGTATATGTAGGAGTTACCTGGTGGAAAGGGAATTTCTTTTAACTAACTTTTGGGAAATAGGACTTCCCTTCAGGGAGAGCATCAGGCCCCTTTCTGGAACATTCTTTCACTCAAAGGAGGCCCCTTGAGAAAAGGCATTATCAAAACATCAAATAGACAGGGTTCTGGGATCTCTTAGTTCCATCTCTCATTTTTGTATGGGAAAGCTGAGACCCAGAAAAGTCAGGGGTTTGCTTTCCTAGCCTTAGACTCTTCATTCATTCATTCATTCATTCATTCATTCACTTAGCAGATATTTATTAAAAGCCATTTTGTCCCGGATACTAGGTGCTGGGGATACAGCAGTTAAAGATTCTTGCTTCCTGGAAGCTTATAGTTTAGTGGAGGGAGACAGACAATAAACACGAAAATAAGAAAAACATATCATGTCAGAGGGCGGTAAAAGCTACAGAGAAACGTAAGGACTGGAAAGGGTTCAGGTATTCTGGAGGAGCCACTGGCAAAGTGAATTTGAAAGTCCCTGGGCCTCTCGTATGGGGCTGCTGACCCTCGAAGCCCATTGTGACAACGTCTGGGATTCTAGAGTCCAGGCCTGGGGGAGGGAGGAGGCCTGGAGAAGGAGGAGGGAAAAAGGGGCTGTGGGATTTAGTGGGTGGGCTGCACCCCCCCGGGGGGCAGCAGAGCCCAATGGGTCAGAAGGGCCACAAAGACTCCCTGTACCCTTGTGGAGGGTAAGATCATTTATTCCTGAGGCGTCTTGGCTCCTTGCCCTTGGCCCCTCCCCCACCTCCATCAGATCTCAGATGACATTCCCTTCTGCTCCCCCTCCCACCCTTGGGAACACCAAGAGGTGGGTCAGAATTGTTCCTGCGTCTCACTACAGAGTGGCAGCCTGGAGGAGCTCGTGACAGGCACCCAAGGCTGGCCAGGGAGACCGAGTAGGCCCTGTGAGGCTCTGTCCCAGTCAGGAGAGGCTGGAGGGCTGGCGGGCCCCTGTGTCATGCCCCGCATCTCTTCCCCCAGGACTCCTGAGAGCAGCCTCCACGAGGCCCTGGACCAGTGCATGACCGCCCTGGACCTTTTCCTCACCAACCAGTTCTCAGAAGCACTCAGCTACCTCAAACCCAGGTGAGGCTCAAGCCCCGGTTGGGGTAGGGGGTGTGCTTGACGGTCAGGGAGAACCAGAGGTCTTGTATGAGAGGAACTCTGTGTAACTAAATGCCTTCGGCTTTCTGGGTCACCAGGACCTCTGACAAGTCCCATAAAAATGGCTCAGGCTCCATTCCACAGCCTGCGTGTATCCAGGCCCTCTCCAAGGTCACTGTGACTTGCTTGTCCTTAGGCTCTTGAGGGTTCTTCACACTTCCTTATGTGTTCCCGCATAAGGATAAGGAGTTTCTTCCTCGCCAGCTCTCACACGACCCTTTGTTTATTTTTCCCCAAAGCACTAAAGACTAGGTTGCCTGCTTTCCTGGGTGTTTTAGGGCAATAAAGAGGGCTGCTCCCTTGACCATTTCCTTGAATGCTCACAGCCATGTTTCTGTAAATACAAATCAATAATGTGCATATACTCCTTTTTCTTTACTTATCACTTTTTCTCAGTTTTAAAAATTGAGATATTATTCAGATACCATAAAACTCACCCTTTCTTACCACTTTAAAACATTTATTGGGCTGGGCGTGGTGGCTCACGCCTATAATCCCAGCAGTTTGGGAGGCCAAGGCGGGCAAATCACTTGAGGTCAGGAGTTGAAGACCAGCCTGGCTAACATGGTGAAACCCCATCTCTACCAAAAATATAAAAAATTAGCTGGGTGTGGTGGTGTGTGTCTGTAGTCCCAGCTACTCAGGAGGCTGAGGCAGGAGAATGGCATGAACCCAGGAGGTGGAGCTTGCAGTGAGCCGAGATCGCGCCACTGCACTCCAGCCTGGACGACAGAGCCAGACTCTGTCTCAAAAAAAAAAAAAAAAAAAAGAAAAAAGAAAAGAAAGAAATAAGCAATGTTTACCTTACTATACCTTTTTGATTAATGCTCCTTGCAAAGAAAATCATGTGTGAGACTGTTTCCTTCTAGAGTTAATAATTTTCTTGCTTTTCCCATTTTCCTAATTTGCTAAACATTTATCCTTAAGTCTTTGTAACCACTCCTATCAGATCATCCTATGGTGAGTTTTTCCCAAAATGCTGAAATCTATCAAGTAAGCACTCAGTACCCCCCTCATTTTCCTGGAAACCTATCCTTGGGAGGACAGACATGTCTTCTGGCTCCTCCTGGCTGTTTCCTAGAGCTCCTTTGCGTTTCTCCTGCTTCTTTGATTCCAGGTCTTTTCTCTTGTGTCCCCCTCGTTTGCCAGGGAATGTCCCATAGAAATTTCCTAAGAAAGGCTGGGCGCAGTGGCTCATGCCTGTAATCCCAGCACTTTGGGAGGCTGAAGTGGGTGGATCATTTGAAGTCAGAAGTTCAAGACCAGCCTGGCCAACGTGGTGAAACCTCGTTGCTACTAAAAATACAAAGATTAGCTGGGCATGGCGGTGAGTGCCTGTAATGCCAGCTACTTGGGAGGCTGAGGCAGGAGGAATGCTTGAATTCAGGAGGTGGAGGTTGCAGTGAGCAGAGATTGCTCCATTGCGCTCCAGCCTAGGTGACAGAGTGAGACTCTGTCTGGGGAAAAAAAAAAAAAAAAGAAATTTCCTAAGAAAGGCTGGGTGCAGTGGCTCATGCCTGTAATCCCAGCACTTTGGGAGGCTGAGGTGGGTGGATCATTTGAAGTCAGAAGTTTAAGACCAGCCTGGCCAACGTGGTGAAACCTCGTTGCTACTAAAAATACAAAGATTAGCTGGGCATGGCGGTGAGTGCCTGTAATACCAGCTAGTTGGGAGGCTGAGGCAGGAGGATTGCTTGAATTCAGGAGGTGGAGGTTGCAGTGAGCAGAGATTGCTCCATTGTACTCCAGCCTAGGTGACAGAGTGAGACTCTGTCTGGGGGGGGGAAAAAAAAAGAAATTTCCTAAGAAAGACTTGTATAAATATATTTTTTTCCCTAAGAATTTTGAATACCTTGCTTCAGTGTTCTAGCATTTACTGTAGCTGTGAGAACCCTAATTCTTCTCACTTACTCTTTCTCCAGAAAGGTTTAGGATTGGCTCTTGTATTTCTGAAAATCTGGAATTTTACCGCGATGTGTGGCAATGAAGTCTTTTTTATTCTGGATTGTTATGCGGGCTCTCAGTTCTGGGCAATGCTCTTGTACGATAGTTCCATCTTATTTCCCTTTCCTGGGCTTTCTTTAACGTGCCTTTTGGACCTCCTAGGTCAGTCCTCTTCTGAGCCTCTTCTCTCTCCCTCTTGTTTTTCCCATTGCTTTATCTTTTTTTTCCGTCTGATTTTTGGAAGATTTCCTCACCCTTCTCATTAATTCCTGCTGTTGACTTCTTTATCTCTGTAATCATATGATTAATTTCCTGGCATTCTTTATTTTCTGAATGTTCTTTTTTCCCTAAAACATCTTCTTCTTGGTTTATGGTGTACTAACTTCTTTATATCTATATTTGGAATATGAGGCCCTTAGGACAGTGCCTGGCATGTATTAAGTATCTAATAAAGTATTTATTGTTATTGTCACAGAATATTATTTCTGTTTAAAATATTTCATTCTTTTCCTGCATAACTTGGCGCTCTCCGTGTTCCTGGAGTCTGTTTAATGGGGGAATTCTCTTCTCATGGGGTGCTTTCTTCAAAAACCCAGCCATCCCCGGCTGTCTGTCTAGTCCTGTTTAAGAATGAGCCCATGCGAAGGCCAGCCGGGAGGTCTGTGCCAAGCTGCCTTGTAGTTGGTGGAGTTGGCTTTGGATGACCTGGCCACCAGATGTCAGCAGCCGGGATGGCTTGGCTTCTCCAGTGAGGAATCCTCCATTTCTCAGCCTGGACAGAGAGCCTTAGCCGCCTAAATTGGGAGACTAGGGGCTGAGGTCTAATCATCTCTGCCACCTACTCCCCCTAGTCCGCCTCTTTTCAGCTCCAACTTGTCCCCTGCACCCAAGCCCCAAGGAAAAGTGAATGCTGAGGCCAGGGGACTGGTTTCCACAAGTCCCCAGGCCTGACCTGTTCAGTTTCTGTAGACATGATGGACCCATCTTTCTCCCTCTAGGGTCAGTGGCCCAGCTTTTGGGGTGGGGTGAGTGTTCCAGGGCATGGGGCAGTGTCCACACCTCACTCCCACCCTCTGAGGGAACCTGGCTTGAGGGGGTCAGGCTGGGTGGGTCAGGGCCTGCAGCAAGAGTGTGGCCATGGCCTGAGGCAGGCCCAGCTGCAGCTTGCTCTGTCTTAGAATGTCCAGGTTCCCCTCTCAGTTTTCTTGGAAGGCTCCCCAGCTCCTGCTTCTCCCCTAGTCATTTCCTGTTGCTCACTCAAGCCTGGACCCCAGACCATAGCCACCCTCCTGCACTGGAAACCAGCTGCCCAGGACACAGCTGCTCAGCCTGTCCCATACCCCAAGCACGGACACTGGCCCTTCTCCTCACCCACTGAACCCCCGATAAGGTCATGCCTCAGCCTACTCTAAACTGTCCTGTAGACTTGGGGCCAACAGAAGGGAGTCAAAACACTGGAGAAAATATTAAAACCAAAGGCTGTGGCTGCGCCTGGGTCCTCGAACTGTCTCTGCCACAAGGTCCCTGAAAGGGCTTTTCCCTCTATGGCCCCCTCACCTCAGGAGGGCATTCTAACAGGAGTCCTGTAGCTCTCAGGACCCCCAGAGGAAACCCTCGTCCTAACAGAGACACTCCAGGAATCCAGTCTTCCCATGGAGCCACCTGTTACCTCACATGGGAAGCAGTGCAGCATCTGTTTCTTAGCCCCTGCCTTATTCCAGAAAAGGATCCTTTCTTTCTTTTTTCTTTCTTTTCTTTCCTTCTTTCCTTCTCTCTCTTTCCTTCTTTCCTTCTCTCTCTTTCTTTCTTTCTCTCTCTCTCTCTCTTTCTTTCTTTCTTTCTTTCTTTCTTTCTTTCTTTCTTTCTTTCTTTCTTTCTTTCTTTCTTTCTTTCTTTCTTTCTTTCTTTCTTTCTTGTTTGTTTTTGAGACAGAGTGTCGCTGTGTCGCTCAGGCTGGAGTGCAGTGGTATGATCTCAGCTCACTGCAACCTCCACCTCCTGGGTTCAAGCGATTCTCCTGCTTCAGCCTCCCTAGTAGCTGGGATTGCAGGTGCATGCCACCATGCCCGGCTAATTTTTTATATTTTTAGTAGAGACGGGGTTTCACAATTTTGGCCAGGCTGGCCTTGAACTCCCGACCTCAGGTGATCCCCCCACCTTGGCCTCCCACAGTGCTGGGATTACAGGCATCAGCCACCACACCAGGCCCTTTCTTTCTTTTTGAGTTTAACAGTTTTCCTCCAGATAGTAGTGTCAGTAGCACACTACCCCCATACCACCTGTGACAACCCAAAATATCTCCAGAAATTGCCACATGTCCTCACGTTGGGAGTGGGGATACCCTGGCACTTCCAGTGAGAACCACGGGTCTAGAAAAAATAATTCTTGCTGGAAAACAGCCTCCCTTCCTCACTGATGGCCACCGAAGCTTCAGAAGATGTTGGGCCCAGTGTCATTTGCTGTTCTTCACTGAACACACATTGTCTCGTTTAATTGTCCTGGTCCCGTGCAGTGGGGGACGGTGCTCCTCTTTCGCTCCGAGTGGGGCATCTGGGCTTTCCTAGCTCCCTTCCCCGCCTCGCCTCTGCTTTCCATAAGTCATGCCTTTGAGTAGCGTTGTCCCTGCTTCTAGCATATTTCACTTAGCACTGAGTGTGACCTGACGCACTGTCTCTGGGACGTGGAGGCTACTGCTCTTGGCTTTCTTGAATTATATGATCGTGGTTAATAAACGGCAGAGTGGGATTCGGATCCAGGTCCTCCAGCTGCACAAACCACACACCGACTGCTGTGTGTGTGGTTTGCCCTCCCCCTTGGGTTGGCGGCATTTACCTTGGGCAGGGCCTCACATCTGCCTCCCCCAAACCACGAGGAGTGAAGGAGGTGGAAAGGGTGCATCGGGGGCATGTGTGGGGGTGCAACAAGTTCAGGGTATGCCCTTGAGCGTTCTGGAGTTTCTCTGAGGGAAGAGGTAAGGTCACCTGCCAAAAGCCAGGGGCCAGGTGGTGGTGCAGGGATAACGAGGAGAGGGGAAAAGTGTTTCTGGACAGGATGCTGGGCCTGGCTGAGGCTGTCTGTGTAGGGGGCAGCTTTCTCCAGCATTGCTCAGTGGCAGTGTGGAGAAAGTGGGCCGTTGCGTGGCTCCTGAGCTGGGCTCCTAGCTGGGTTCAGCAGGTTGGCAGACTTGGCATTGAGTATGTTGACAAGAGAGAGAGACTGGTATGAGGACACTAGGCTAAGCAGTCAGGAAGAGGGGACAGACTGGAGGAGGGAGGATGGGCAGTGGGAGTGATGGGCCAGTACAGGCAGGTCAGGAGGCTTAGAGCTGGGAGGGTGGCGGCATCCTTTAAGACTCCAGAAGCAGAGCCATTCTGTGTGATGAAGACAAGGTCACACTGCAACTCAAAGGATGGAGATGGTTGGGCAACTATCACTGGTTCATTCAGCAACAGCCTTTGAGCGCCCTCCTGGGCCCGGCAGTGAGCTGGGTGCTGGTGCTCCATTACTGAGCAAGATGTGGGCTGTTCTCAGGGTCCAGCAGGGAAATGGCGAAACAAGCAATAAGGGGTGCCGAGAACTACCCAGGGACCCCACTTCATGTGGGAAAGGAGCTGGTCGGGAGGACTGCATCATTCCCTGGGGCTCATTGCCAAATAGAAATTCAGGGTCATTTGTTCAAATATTATTAAAATTTAAAGACAGTGACAGCAGAGAATTAAACCAAACATGGGCCCTTTTTAGGCACCGGCCCTGTGCAACGGCATAGACCACACACCCATGAAGCTGCCCTGGAAGGCTTCCTGGAAAAAGTGACATTTACGCTGAGATGGACTGGATGAGAAGGAGTCAGCCAGATAGAGGGGGCATTTCTAGGTGTAAGGAACTGCCTTTGCAAAGACTGGGTGGTGAATGAGGGTCTGGTGTATCTGAGAGATGGAGACACTCACCCTGGAGTGGGAGGAACTGAGGCAGATCCCAGAAGGAAGAGGGCAGGGTGATGGGCAGCGGACTGGGGATGGGGAGTCCATAGAAGCAACTTGGGCTGGAGAGGAAGTAGAGTCTGAAAGGACCAGAAAGTGGAGTAGGGGGAGCTTCAGTGAGCATGAAGGGGCAGAGACTTGGAGAGGTCAAGGGGCTGCCTCTGCCTCCCAGTGCCCTCCCTATCCTGACAGCTGGTCTGGGACCAAGAAGGTGGGACCCCAGTAGACATGTCCCAGAGTGAGGGGACAGCTCAGGAATGAGCCGACTAATGGCCTGGATGATACATATGCAAATAAGAACTTGGGTACAAGCTAAACTTGGAGTGCCTGAGGTTCGAGGGTTGTCATACCTCTGTACCCCATTTCCCAGTTCAGACTAGAGTTGGGGACTTCCAGGAGGCAGGCTGGGGAGGGGCTAGTATTCTTAGCCACAGACGCCTGTTGGGGCCTTGGGCCTCAGACTAGAAATTCCACTTTGTCTGCCAGCTGCCCGGGGGGAGCTGTCCCTCCTTCTGGGCCCAGCACCAGACAAGGTTCCACAGGTGGGGCTGGGCAGGTGGTGCTGAGTCCCAGGCCTCTGACTGGCAGTGGGAGAGGAAGAGAGAGACAAGGGCTTGAGAGATGGAGAGGCCTGGGGGCTGGGGTGTTATCTGGGGGATGGGTCTGTGTGCTGCCAGGGAAGCCCCTCCTCAAGGAGAAGGTTTTTATGCAGGGAAGTGGCACAGGACACGGAGGGACTCATATTTACTGAGCTTTGGTGCAGTGGCCCCTGGCCTGGGTATTATTCTATTTAAGCCATGCAAAAGCCCGTGGGGGAGAAGAGTTACGGTTTTCCTTCTGCAGGGAAAAACCTGAGGCTGAGGGAGGCTGTGAGACATGAGACATGCCAGGTCACACAGCTGGTAGCTGGCAAAGCTGAGACTCCAACCTGTGTCTGAGGGGCTCTGAAGCCTGGTTCTGGCCCCAGCTCTGGGCAGCCTGCTCCTCTCCACAAGCCACTGCCTGCAGATGAAGCAGTCCTGGCAAAGGCCTGGGAGCATCCAGAGAGTGCCCCTGGCTGGCAAGCGGTGGAGCAGCCTTGGTTTCCTGCCTTTGACCCTCAGGGATCACAGGAGTGTCACCCAGAAGTAGCTTAATTTACGAGTGTTTTATGAACAGGAAAAGGGGTGAAGTCACATGATTTCACAACCAAACAGCCTGTAAACCTTAGTCATCTCTCTTTCCTCTGAAGTTCCCAGCATAAACCTGGCATTGAGGAGCTTTATAAATAATTTACAAGGAGACCTGGGGAAGGGAGTAAAGGCGCTCCCAGTCAGTCCCACAGGCTTACAGGGACCCGGGCAGGCTAGCATTATCGTCCCCATTTTGCAGAAGCAGAAATCTAGGCCCAGACATGTTAAGTGGCTCCCTCCACATACAGAGAGGACCTGGCGTTGTTCGCATCCCTCCTTGCCTGTTGCCCTCTCCATGTGATGGACTAAATGCTACCCCCTGCCCCCAACGCACCCTTCAGCTGAGGAGCCTGGGGCGGTGGAGGAGCAGGGAGCCCAGAGACTCCTGAGGCCACCTTGGCTCAGCCCTGACATCAGTACTGAGGACAGAGATGAGTCACACACAAACTCTGTCCTCGAGGTGCCCACAGTCTGCAGAGAGCTGAGCCTATGCTGGTCAGTTCAGCATGACCCGTACCTCAGTTACAGATGGAGTCCCTGAGGAGGAGGCCTGGATTCCCAGGGCTCTGGGAGGCATTTGAGGGCCTTGACAGATATGTCAGGAGATGTAGAGGAAGGGTATTTCTTTCTTTTAAAAAAAAATTATTATTACTTTTTAGAGACAGGGTCTCACTATGTTACTCAGCCTGGTCTCAAACTCCTGGGCTCAAACAATCCTCCCGCCTTGCCCTCCTAGAGTCCTGGGATTACAGGCATGTGCCACCACACCTGGCCGAGGAAGGGCATTGCAATCTGAGGGAACAGCCTGGGCAAAGGCCTGGAGGAGGGAAATGTGGGATTTTCTAACGGAAGGTCTTTGTGGTTCAGTGTGGCTGGGGGTGCAGTCTTGAATGTGACCAGATAGGGGTGGGTGGGGAACAGAAGCATCAAGAGGGCTGGAGAGGTGGGCAGGGCTGACATCTTGTGGAGCTTCAGCCCCGGCAGGATCTCCTAGGATGTGGGAGCCATGGGAAGGTGTAACTATTGGGCACCATGATCAGATGAGGGGAGGGAGTGGGAAGAGGCAGCAGGTGACTAGCGAGGAGGTCCAGGGAAGTGGGGTTGAGGGCGGCCCAGGGGTGGGGTTTGGGCTAAACAGGATCTCACAGACAGGACTTGGGCTCAGCCTACAGGAGGTGGGGGCAGAAGGCAAGAGGGTGGCACTGGGGGCAGGGAAGGGCAGCCTCGGGCCGACATGCACTAAAGCCTTTCTCAGTGCTCATGGCAGCTATGCTGCTGCCACCCCTACTGAGCCGATGAGGAACTGAGGCTCAAATCTGGTAGATCACTTAGGGCCACTCAGCAGGAAGAGGGCAAGCTGGAAACCGAATCTGAGGTCTTTTGAGTAGCAGTGAGCAGATCAGACCTGGCCAAGGACCTCCCCGTGCCTGGACCCCCGGTCCCCTTGCCTCACTGCAGAATGGAGGAGGACGGAGATGAGCTGCCCAGGGCCAGCTGCCTCTGGGGCTCTGTGAGGTGGTGCTCTCAATGTCCCTTCTCTTCGGCAGAACCAAGGAAAGCATGTACCACTCACTGACGTATGCCACCATCCTGGAGATGCAGGCCATGATGACCTTTGACCCTCAGGACATCCTGCTCGCCGGCAACATGATGAAGGAGGCACAGATGCTGTGTCAGAGGTTGGGGGTGTTGGGGGCAGGGATCAGAGGTTGGGAGGCCCACCCTTCTCTCACCTTGGCCCATCCCAGTGCCTAACATGCCACTATTCGCACTGCTGCTTTTGGCTAAGACGTTGTGTCTGCAGGTGCTAAGAGCCGTCCCTGTTGTTCCTGCCTCAGGAGCTATGTTGTCTGAGCCAGTCACTGGGCAGCTTTCAGGGACCAGGGTGACAGAGTAGAGGAGGAGGCACCACGACTTGAGTGGGCAGGAGGGTAGGCCAGGCTGGGCACGAAGAGACATTAAGGAGAGGAACCCAAATGTGGCACAGGTTGGGAGCTGCCAGGAGCAGCGTCACCTGGCCTGGACGCGGGTTGACCAGGGGCTGCTGTTTAGCCTCAGCCCCAGGACTGATCAGGTGGTAACTGTCCCATTTTATCAGTGAAGACACTGAGCCTCAGAGAAGTTAAGTGACGGTTTTTACCAGAATATCAAACCTCTTCTGCCTGACCCCAAAGTCTGTGTTCTTTCTGTTAGCTCTGTCTCTCTAGGAATGTTCTAGAGTGTAGCAGAGAGGGACAGAGACAAGTGTGGCCTCTCTCTAATCCTCACCTGAGGCCCCTCTTTTTCCTTCTCAGGCACCGGAGGAAGTCTTCTGTAACAGATTCCTTCAGCAGCCTGGTGAACCGCCCCACGCTGGGCCAATTCACTGAAGGTGTGGCATCCAGGACGTCCTCTCAACCATGCTAAGCCCAGGCGGCCAGCTCCAGGCCCAGGAAGGGGCAGTTATCCTCCCTGTCATCGCCTAGGGGGCCAGGCCCTGGGGTCCATGCCAGGACACACATGGGTCAGACCTGGGGCCTTTTGAGGCCTGGCTCTCTAGTGAGGGTGTGGGGGGCAGGTGAGACCCACTTATGTGATAGCACTACTGGCTGAGAACCTGCAAGTCAAGAAAAGGGAAAGCTGTCCAAGGCCAGGGCTCTGCTCCTCAGGCCCACAGTTGTATGTGCAGTTGAGTTTACTGATTTAATTATCCTGGTGATCACATGGGCCCCAGAGGAGAATGTGGTGTCAGCAGCTGAGTCACTGGGACAACATGAGAAGAGATGGTGTGGGCTGTCATGGTCCATCCAGGTCTTTGTGCCATGACCACATGCAGCTGTCCTGGAGGCAGCAGTGGCTGACCACAAGCAGTGAGGGGCTCTGCAGCATAGGAGAAAGTGGCCTTACCCTCCTCAAGAGCCCTGGAAGGTTCTAGCGCCCCACAATGCATCTGATGTTGCTGGGTGCACAGCACCTACAGTGGTGCTTGGAGAACAAGACTAGGCGACCTTCTTGGGGAGGGTGTGAGCTAGCTTCTAGGGACGGTGACGAACACTCTGAAGCACTGGGTGATGAGGTAGGGGACAGGAGAGGTGCTGACACAGGTTCCCTTTGCTTTTGGGAAAGTGGGGGTGTGAGGATTCATCCCAGGCCTCCTGATTAGAGTCCCAGGAGGCCACAGGGCTTTGGTTTTTTCCCCACAGAGGAAATCCACGCTGAGGTCTGCTATGCAGAGTGCCTGCTGCAGCGAGCAGCCCTGACCTTCCTGCAGGTAGGGACCCCCACTTGTACAAGGAGGCTGGGATTTCAGAAGATCAATTTCCACATCCAACCACAGCCCTTCCCCTAGAGCAACTGTGACCCATCCCCCATAGCAACCACGACCCATCCCCTGTAGCAATCGTGACCCATCCCCTGTAGCAATCGTGACCCATCCTTCACACTCCTGCCCCTGGCAGGGCTCAAAGGGAAGTGATGGGCATCACGCCCTCACACCCCTAGCACATGCGCTCCCACCGTTACCGGGATGCTGTTTCCACTGTGTGGCTGCTGCATTTCCTGTTAAGGGTCCTGTGGGGGTGATAGGCATTGTCTCAAAGCCTGCTTTCCATGTGATTCATTCAACAAGCTCTGTAGCACCTGTGATGTACCAGACTTTTTGCACACGGTACAGGTATGTAGTTTCTACATACCTTACACACATTACAGTTTGCTTTTGCTAATACTTACATTTATTATTTAATCTTCACCACAGAGGCCTGTGAAGGGGAGACTTAGAGGAGAGGGGTCACTTTCCCAAGGTCACATGATTAGCAAATGATGAGCAGGGATTTGAACCTAGGTCTGATGAAGTTGGAGCCCAGGTCTCCTCACCACACAGTGGGAATGATGAGAATGATCACTACATGCTTTTGCCTGAAAGCCTGGGTTATAATGAGAACATATCAGCATCATTATATATGTGTGTTTAGCAGAAGAGGGACATTTTAGTGTTGGGGTGCTGGTTAATTTCATAGCTTTTTTTTTCTATCTTTTTGACCTGGGGAGATTAGAATTGGATTAATCCTAATCCTTGCTTTAGGATTCACTGTAATGATTGCACCATAAACGACATTTTGTTTTGTTTGTTTATTACATTTTTACAAATAATGAACACCCATCAACACCACAGCCAACTGGAAGACAGAACACGGGCAATAACTCTCCCCACCCTGGGACTCCTCCTCGCCCTGTCCATGCACCCAGCAGGGGAATCACTACTAGAGTGTTATGTTTATTGTCCCCTACCCTTTCCTTTTTTTTTTTTTTTTTTTTTTTTGAGACGGAGTCTCGCTCTGTCGCCCAGGCTGGAGTGCAGTGCTGTGATCTCAGCTCACTGTAACCTCCGCCTCCTGGGTTCAAGTGATTCTCCTGCCTCAGCCTCTGGCTAATTTTTGTATTTTTGTATTTTTAGTAGAGATGGAGTTTCACCACGTTGGCCAGGCTGGTCTCGAACTCCTGACCTCAAGTGATGCGCCCACCTCGGCCCTACCCTATTTTTTTTTTTTTAAATCGCTTTCTCAGCTTTGTACTCATGCCTGAACAGCATATGGTGATGTTTCATTTGCTTTTGAGCTTCCTAAGTGGTGTGGGTCTTGCTTTCTTCCCTCGGCCTTATGTGACTGTGTGTTATTCTCTTGCCTGAACACACCGCAGTTTGTTTATCTGTCCTTCTGCTGGTGGCCATTTGGGCTGTTTCTGTTTCTTGGCTATCATGAACTTGCACAACCCTTGTCCATCCATTTTCCATTGGGTGTAAACAGTGAATAGAGCTGCTGGCGGCTATAGGCAACGGAAGTTTTACATTTAAAAATGTGATAAATACCTGCTTGTTGTAAAAACCACAAACAATCCAAAAACAAGCATCCCCTCTCCTTTCTTGCAGTCCCTCCACCTAGAGGGAGATACTGTTAATCATTGGGCGTGGCCCCTCCAGGCCTCTCTCCAAGCACAGAGTAGTGTACCTGTGAGGCTGGTCCAACCCTGGGCATTTTAGAGGTTTTGTTGAGCCAAAGAGCAGGGAGGCCTGGTTTGGCTGATCTCTGACCTCATCCCCCAAGGGTTCCTCACAGGGAGGGGCAGTCAGGCCCAGAGCCTTGCATGATCCCTCTCAGCCTACAGCTGCCCACTTGGGCCAGGCGGTCAGCATCTTTTCCTCCTGCAGGACGAGAACATGGTGAGCTTCATCAAAGGTGGCATCAAAGTTCGAAACAGCTACCAGACTTACAAGTGAGTGGGGCTGGCCATCCGCTTGTGGAGACTCTGGGTCACAGCCTCTGCTGTGCTGTTCCCCTCAGGCGGCTTTGTGGGAGGAGAAGAGTACTAACCAGGGCCAGAACCTAGGCTGTTGATGCAAGCCAATTTCCATGCCCTCAGGACCTCAGTCTCCTGAAATCATATTCCCCTGGCTTTCTGGCTGTGTCTCTTCCCTTTGGTCCCTTGAGTGCTTACTCCCTGCCTGACCCTCTGCTGGGGAAAATAAGACACAGATTCTGCACAGGCTGGTCTGGTGGGGGCAGGGAGATAGCCACACGAACAGCCATTTTGGGAACAGCAGCAGAACTCCCACAGATCTGTTAAGGCCCAGTCCAAATGCCACCTTCCCCATGAAGGCTTCTTTAACTCTAGTACACAGGAAAGGTATACACACACACACATGCATACACACACACACACACACACATGTGGACACACTCTCTGCAGGCCAAAATCACTTTCGTGCTATCTCTGGATCCCTGACATTCAAACTAGCCCAGGCCCAGGCCATGTTTATGAATGAAGATTCAGTCCGGAGCGTTTTTACCCAACGTGGCTCCAAAATCCCTTATCTATGGTTCCCACAGCAACAAAAGCTCTGAAAATCCAGTCCCCCACTCACCAAGTGTTGCATTAAAACTTATTTCCATTAAAAGTTGATTTGAGGCCGGACGCGGTGGCTCAGGCCTGTAATCCCAGCACTTTGGGAGGCTGAGGCAGGCGGATCACCTGAGGTCAGGAGTTCGAGACCAGCCTGTCCAACCTGGTGAAACCCTGTCTCTACTAAAAATACAAAAATTAGGTGGGCGTGGTGGCAGGTGCCTGTAATCCCAGCTACTCGGGAGGCTGAGGCAGGAGAATCACTTGAACCCGGGACGCAGAGGTTGCAGTGAACTGATATCATGCCACTGCACTCCAGCCTGGGTCAAAAACAAAAACAAGGGGGGTGGGGGCAAGAGTTTTAAAGAGAGTAGATAAGGTTTGAAATATGCAGAGGATTATGCAGAAATCACTATGGAAACAGCACAAGAGTGACTGGCAGTACGGAGAAGCCCAGCTGAAGCTGGTGATGATAAATTTACGGTGACACCAATCTTACTACACCTGCTCAGTAGTCCACATGCACCACAGAGAAGGCAGATAATTTACTTCATGCTTTTTCCATCAGGCAAGAGAGACAGAAAAATAATATTGCAAAGGGGGCTAAGGATAGACATGAAGCTATAGACCAAAAGACAGGGGAATAAAGTTTTACTTTTACAGGAGGAAAATAATTCATGGTGGTGGATATTGGGGATAGTTGCATAATAATGGAAATGTAGTTAATACCACTGAATTGTACACTTAAAATTGGTTAAGATATTAAATTTCATGATATGTATATTTATCACAGTAAAAAAAAATTGAAAAAAAGAGGAAAAGTAAAAAAGTCTTTTTTTTTTTTTTTTTGGAGATGGAGTCTTGCTCTGTTGCCCAGACTGGAGTGCAGTGGCACAGTCTCAGCTCACGGCAACCTCTGCCTCCCGGGTTCAAGCGATTCTTCTGCCTCAGCCTCTCGAATAGCTGGGACTACAGATGTGCGCCACCCCGCCTGGCTAATTTTTTGTATTTTTAGTAGAGATGAACTTTCACCACATTGGCCAGGCTGGTCTCGAACTCCTGACCTCAGGTGATCCGCCTGCCTCGGCCTCCCAAAGTGCTGGGATTACAGGTGTGAGCCACCGCGCCTGGCCTATTTATCATCTTTATCTCCCCCATTTAATGTAGGTGCTTCCCTGCAGGGATATTGTGAACTTGTTACAAGGTATTGCTAGGGTATAATGTACCATATAGCATGTGGACATCACGTTACCTTGGGGGCCTATGCTAGAAGTTTTCTAGGAAAACCAGACAAGTGCTCTGGCCCCAGCCTCCCTACCAGCTGCCAGAATGATGTCGCCAAAGCACACACCTTGTCAGGCCACCCCTTGCCAACTCCCAAGGCTCCTCTTGCTCTTAAAAGAAGTCCTGGGTTATTGCTGAGTCCTTCCTGGGAGTTCGCCCCTGCCCTGCTTGCCACATCTCCCACTTCACTCTGCCTTAGGTCCTTGAGACTTCCCCCAGTTCTTCAAATATGCCAAGGTGGTTCCTACCTTAGGGCCTTTGGACGTGCTGTTCTCTCTGTCAGAAACACTTTCTGCACTGAGCTTTCTGTACCAGATTTCAGCTCAAATGTCACCTCCTCAGAGAAGCCTTTCCTATCCCCAGACTAGGTCAGGTCCAAGGATTCTTCTCCTTGGAGCCTGCCATCACCCTCATAGTGATTTAATGGGGGGAGGGAGGGTCTGTCCCTTAAAGTGAGAATGCTGTGGGGGCAATGGCTTGGTGACTTTGGTCCCTGCTGTCTTCCAGTGCCTGGCACAGAGAAGCCTCAAGCTTGCTAATTGAAAGCCTTCAAAATGCTGTCAGCCCAGGAAGGAGGCAGACACATCGTTAAAGCCTCTGTCCTGCCTCAGGTGGCTGGGCTAGGGGCTCTGTGCAGTTGGTAACCAGGAGAAATAGAGTTGAATTCCAACCAGGAGACTCCAGGAAGACTTCCTGAAGGAGGAGGTGTTTGGGCTAGCCCAGTGGTTTTCAGCTAGGGGTGACGTCCCCCTCTGAGACATTTGGCGGTGTCTGGAGACATTCTGGGTGTCCAGCTGGGGAGAGGATGCTACTGGCATCTGGTGCTCAGGGGCCATGGATGCTGCTAAACATCCTAAGATGCCCAGAACAGCTCCCCTGCCACCCCCAAAAACAAAGAATTATCCATCCCCAAATGTCAGCAATGCGGAGGCTGAGAAAACCTCTTTTAGACAGGATGTGGAGTACCAACAAATGTCCAGAAGCTGCCCATGGCAGAGTGTGCCAGGGCCCATACGGCTGAAATTCAGGGGTGAGGAGTGTGTTATCATGGTGGGAGACGGGATTCGAAATTCCTCAAATATCAGTTCTCAGGATCACCAGAACTGTATGAATCCACCACCAGGGAGTTTACCTGAGGCCCAGCTGGAAGGGGTCCCCGCCCCTAACCCCCACCCCCAGCAGTGGCTGAAACAGGACTTGGCATCTCTCTGCAGGGAGCTGGACAGCCTTGTCCAGTCCTCACAGTACTGCAAGGGTGAGAACCACCCGCACTTTGAAGGAGGAGTGAAGCTCGGTGTGGGGGCCTTCAACCTGGTGAGTGCTCCTCCCCCATTTCCACAGCGCCTGGCTCGAGCTCAGTCTCCCCTTCTGTCCCTGACTCGTCTGGTCACTGCCAAGTGCCCCTGCACCTGACTGTGTGCTGGGCACCGGGATCCAGAGATGACCAGATGTGTGGCCAGCCTTCAGGGACTCACAGCTGGGGTGGGGGTGGAGTGGGCGCTGGAGCCAGCTCCAGAGTCCATCAGTGCATTTCTTCCCAAGTCCGGCCAGTAGCTTGAAATCCACTGTGGTAGAGCCTTCACAGCACCTGACCATGGCACACATAATAAATCAGGGCATTCTCTGCCCTAGAGAGCTGCTGGCTACACATTTACCAGTGGCAGGGAAGGAGACAGTCCTGAAACCAGCTGATGACTTAGAGGGGACAGAGAACTAAGTCTTCCTCCTGCATGGAGTGGGGGAAGGTTTCCTGCGGGAGGGAGTGAGCATCTGTGCTGGCTCCTGAAGGATTCCTAGGAGTTTCCCAGCTGAGGAGGGGCTTTCAGGCAGAGGGATCAGGAAGTCTGGGAAAACTGCCTGATCAAGGGAGGAGGAGCTTCCCAGGGAAGATTTTAGCCTCGGGAACCTAGGTGGCCAGGGGCCTTTCCAAAGTTAGAGGGGTGGCCCTCTCCTCTCCAGGTAAAGCCTGTTAAAGAGCAGGCCTTGGGACAGTGGGGGTGGCCCCTGCCCCCTCTGGGTACCTTCACATGCTTGATTACCTCCTTTCTTGCAGACATTGTCCATGCTTCCTACTAGGATCCTGAGGCTGCTGGAGTTCGTGGGCTTTTCAGGAAACAAGGTAACCACCTGCTTCCTAGCACCCCTGACCTGCTCAGCCCCAAAACTGGGGCTGGGCTGGACAGGGTGGGGCTGACAGGCCGCAGGGCCTAGGTGCCCGTCCTGGCTCAGCCCCTCTCATTGTATGACCCCGGACAATGCCCAGACCTCCCTGGGCCTCAGTCTTCTCTCCAGGCGAATGGGGCTAGTGATCCCTGCCTGGCCCTCCCAGGGTGCAGAGGCTCTGGGTGGGTGGGGGTGGCTATGAAGGGCAGCTCCATCAGTGGCCCAGGATCACACATTCTCTGAGCCTGACAGGTGTCAGGAGCTGGTCCCTCTTTCTATAGATACTGCCTCACTTCAAGACTTTGAGCAAGTCCTTCCCCAAAGGACCATTTTCTGGTGCTACCACTTCATCCAGCAGATGCCCGAGGGAGGCCCTACTGGGCATCAGACCTTGAGGAGGAACCAGAGAACTCAAGCACCCAGAGACTTTACTGAGGGCAGGAACCTGAGTACCAACCCCAGGTTGAAGGCAGCAGATCAGGGAGGGCTTCCTGGTGGAGGAGGCTTCGTGTGGTAGAAGGAGCATTGGCCTGGAAGTTAGGATCTCTGGGTCAGTCCAGCCTCATCCCCTTTTCTCTGTGACTCTGAGCAAGTCCCTACCTTCTCTGAGCCTCTTTTTAGTAAAATAAGGACCTTGTTATGGACCAGATAAGTGTTTCTCAAATGTGCACTGACCCTTACTGATATTTGCCACAAGCACGGACCTCTCTTTTATAATGTATATATTACTTTTCTCAAAAGTGACTCATGACTTTTACTGAAATTGATTCAAAGGAAACATGTCTACACAAACCTCCATATTATTTGGCATGATAAGAACATAATCATAAAAATAAATACCACAAGGGCCCAGCCACCTTTTGGAAAGCCCAGCTAGACTATGTGGTGGGCCTGGGTTCAGCCAGGGCTGCCTCTTTCTGAGAAAGGGGGCTCAGGGTGAGAGAGTTCAAACCCCGCGAGCAAAGGACTGGGGATTTCTCCTGGGCACCACCAAAGGATAGAAAGATAACTGAGAAGGGAAAACGCTCACGGTGACTCAGTGTTTCCTGGCGCCTGCCCACGGACCCCTGAAATCTTGGCTGCCCTCTGCTGTCTGAGCTTTGGAAAACATTGGCTAGAGGCTGTGAAGGTCTCTTTCAGTTTTGTTTCCTTAAGAAAGCACATGGGTCATGAGTAGGACTTCAGGATGATGAAGGGAGGGCCCAGAGGTGAGGCAGTGTGGCCGGGCCAGGCGGGTTGCGGGACCTACTATGCCAGCCTGGGCTTCCTCTTTATCTCGAAGGCAGGGGAGCCATGGAGGGTTTGAGGCAGGAGTGAGGCAGGTCAGATTTGTGTTTTAGAAAGAACGAGAATGCTCTCGAGGACAGACCAGGGCAGAGACTGCAGGCAGGGAAACAAGCCAGGCTCTGGAGGCTTCTCCCCCAGGAAGCCTTCCCAGGCCCCACCTGTGCCCTGAGCCCGTGGCTGGGATCATCCACCTCCGTGTCTCTCGTGCTCCCAGCCAGACCTGGGTTGCTAGAGCCCTCAATACCCATTGCAGGGCAGCTGAGCCGGTGACTATAGGGAGGGTGGGGAAGGGGCTGTGGAGAAGGTGGGGGACACCTGAGACCCGCCAGGCCTTTGTCCTGGCCTTGGCAGCCATGTCCCCTTCCCCCAGGAATGTGCTGGGGCACTGAGGGGCAGCCCCTTGCTCAGGGCCACGCAGCTGACCCGGCCTCCAGGGTTCCAGCGCTCTTCCGCCCCTTTGCTGGCAGCACTGCCCACACAGCTGTCCAGCTGCCTCCCAGGCCCCTGCCCTCTCTGGGAGCCTCACCCACCCTCCCGTCCCCTCAGGACTATGGGCTGCTGCAGCTGGAGGAGGGCGCGTCAGGACACAGCTTCCGCGCTGTGCTGTGTGTCATGCTCCTGCTGTGCTACCACACCTTCCTCACCTTCGTGCTCGGTAGGTTCCCCTGTACAGGGGGACCTGGGGCCCTGGGGTTTGGTCGTCTCCAAGGGGGCAGGAGAATGAGGGACTACAGACCCTGCTCATGCCCCTGCGGCTAGGGATAGGGGTACTGAAACCAGAAACAGAGCCACATCCACTGTCCTGGGGACTGGCCTGCTGACGCCCACTGCCTCACAGTGTGACTAGGTTCCAGCCTCAGTTTTCTCATCTGTGAAATGGGGGGCGTGGTGCCTACCCTGTGGAGGGTGTGAAGACACTGTGTACAGCACCTTATGGTTCTGGGCACAGCCTTGGTGGACACAGGCTCCTGGTTATCGAGCCCTGTGAAGTGCTTGGGGCGATATCTGCACTGCCTTATATAATCCTCATGTCACCCTAGGGACAGGGAGAATTATCATCCCCATTTCACAGAGGGGGAAGGGGAGACCCCGGGAAGCCCCTACTGGGTTGCTGGCAGGATCACAGGAGCCAGGAGTGCTGACATGTTCTGTGTCTCCCCCACCACCTCCTCCAGGTACTGGGAACGTCAACATCGAGGAGGCCGAGAAGCTCTTGAAGCCCTACCTGAACCGGTACCCTAAGGTGAGCCCCATGCGCTGCCCGGTACCTCCAGCCCACAGACACCCACAGACCCCCACGGACCCACACGGACTTGCATATGTGTCATTGCAGGGTGCCATCTTCCTGTTCTTCGCGGGGCGGATTGAAGTCATTAAAGGCAACATTGATGCAGTGAGTGATGGGGGTCTGGGCCGGGGCTGGGGATCCCTCGGGCTCTCCCAGGCCAGCAGTAAGTCAGGCCCATGTGACATACTCAGGGACAGGACAGACTGGGAGGGGGTCCCCAAGAGAGAACCAACCAGAGAGCAGGAGAGGGAGAGGCCCTTTGGACAGAGCAGCCTGGGAAGATGGAGGAGGAGGCATTTGTGGTGCCTGGGATTTTGACTGGGAGATATAGGACTGTAGCATTGCAGTGGAAGGAGGTGCGGGGAGGTGCTTGAGGGAGGCAGAGGTTAGGAAAGCCCATCTGTTTAGGGCATGGCCATTAGGCTGGAGTCTGGTACCTCCCCTCCATTATAGCTCTGTCCTGTTCTTTCAATTTGTTACAAAAAACCAGAGTCCCAGGCGGGGACTGTATTTAGGCCCAAGGTCATGTAAGACTTAGGAGGTAAAACCAGAACTGGAGGCCAGATCTCCTGGCTCCTGGGGCCCCACCTGAGCCTAGCACAGGGTTGGACCACCATGACCTGGAGAGGCCCGGTCTGCTGTGGTGTTGGGAGGTGCAGAGGATGCAGAGGGGTTGGGGCTGGGTGGGCACCCATCAGGCTGACCAGAAGGTGCCTGCAGGCCATCCGGCGTTTCGAGGAGTGCTGTGAGGCCCAGCAGCACTGGAAGCAGTTCCACCACATGTGCTACTGGGAGCTGATGTGGTGCTTCACCTACAAGGGCCAGTGGAAGATGTCCTACTTCTACGCCGACCTGCTCAGCAAGGAGAACTGCTGGTCCAAGGTGGGCTGATGCCACGTGTTAGGAGCATTGGGTGAACAGGGCTGACTGTGTGCCTCCAGACCAGGGGCCAAATCCCTAACTAAACACAGATGTCTCAGCTGAAATCTAACATAACCGTAAATTCTAATAGGACTCAGGCTTGGAAGGAACTAAAGACCACAAGAGAAACTTCTGAACCACAGTGTGTAACAAAGAGACTTCTAGTCACAAAGGACAGAAACATGGCTCCCTCTGTCCAACAGAACTGTCTCTATGGTAGAAATGTTCTACTTCTGCACTGCCCACATATGGTAGTCACCAGTCACATGTACACAGTGAGCACATGAAATGTGCCTAGTGCAGCTGGGAAACTGATTGCTTTCAGTTTTACTTAATTCAATTAACTAAATGTTAAATTTAAATAGCCTTTAGGGCTAGTGGCCACTATATTGGACTTATGCAATTCCAAAACACAAAAGGCTCATATAACTGAACATTCTTGGCACTTCCGACTTTAGGTAGGGCTGGATCCAGGAATTCAAATGAAATGTCTGGCTTGGTCTTTCCATCTGTGACTGTGCTCTATCCTGTGACATCTTTGTTTCTGCGACATCTTTGCAGGAAGCTTCTCTCCATGTGACAGGCAAGGTGGCCATGGGCTGCTTCTACTCACATCCTCCCCTTGGTTTCAACCAGAGTCCCACAATTCAGCCTCACTGGTCTGACTTGTCACGTGCCAATGCCTGGAACAGAGGGGTGGGAAGATTCTTCATGGGCTGAGAGTAGGAGAGGAGTGGTTCCACAGAAGAAAATGATGCACCCAGAAATAGTGGAGGGATTACAAGATGCCATATAGGCAAAACAAAGCCAAACAGATGCTTGCCTACCAAAGATGAAATTTATCATGGTAAGTATTGAAATAAGTGTTAGCTTGTACCATCATAGTAATGATAGTGCAGAAATTGGAACCAAGAGTCTTAGAACCACCTAGCTCAGCAAACGTCTAATCTGTTATTTGTAAATACACAGGACATGTGTCTTCATGGCTTCATCCCCTGCCCATAGCAGACATTGCTAATCAATCCTCTGCCATGAGCCTGGCTGTGACCTTAGATGCTTTCCCTGCAAAGCTCCAGGCAGCTGTTAGAACTGACCCGCATTGGCACCTGTTAGGAGACCTGTCATCTGCATCTGGTCCCTCCCCCTCCTCCACATGGAGGTCTCTTTTCAGTAGCCCTGCCTGGGGACCAAGCTGGAGGGGAATTCTCTGGGTCTGGGGCAGGTGGGGCTAGGGAAGGGAACAGGCTTCTACTGAGCTCTCAACGTGTCTGGCTCCTGTCCTGTCCTCCACACCACACCCAGTGAGGAGAAGTTATTATCTCCATTGGGCACATGAGGGCCACTGACACTAAGCGAGGACTGTGACTTTCCCACCCACATGGCTGTTGGTGACAGACACTGGATTTGAGGACAGTCCTGTGTGACTCAGAGGCCTCTGCTTCTCTCTTGCTCCTAGAGTCCTCCCGAGGAGTCGGGGCTTGCCCTGAGCCCACCCTGCTACTGAAGGTGCTTCCTCAGGCCCAGCTCCCATGGCCCCCACACCCCCTCCTACTCCCAACAAGGACAAAGCCTCAGGGAACCTTTTTTCTTTTTTGAGAGATAGGGTCTTGCTATGTTGGTCAGGCTGGTCTTGAACTCCTGGGCCCAAGCAATCTTCCCATCCCTGCCTCCTAAAGTGCTGGGACTCCAGGCCTTAGGGAACCTTTTTGAACTGAAAGTGACTCTTGAAGCCTTCCTGTAGAGTGAGGTGGGTGGCTGGGGCTAACCACATGGGGAAAGGGAGACCTGGTGGGGGCACACAGCTGCTATATAGAGGAACAGAAGGTGGGCCAGGCCTCCCAGCTGTCAGCAAGTCTGGCTCAGTTCCTAGCCCGCTGGGGTGGCCAGTCCCACTCTCTCTGCAACACTCTCCTCCTGAGGACTTCCTGTGAAAAACGGGGGTTGTAACACTCTTGAGTTCTGGGGCCCCACCCATTTCTAATCTCCAGAACTTGGCCATCGCAGACTCCACCAACTTATAGTCCTGGGGCCTGGGCCTCTGGCCATTGCCATAGGCACCACCCGCTCTGTGCAGGCAGTGCCCCTCTCTGCCAGGATCCTCCGAGGTCAGCTGCTGGGTCTGACCCGCAGACCCTGACTGAGTGATGGATGAACAGAGTACGCAGACACAGGCTTGCCTGTCAGCAGATAGGGGACCCTTGCCAGAGTTAGCAGCAGCCCCCATAAGCCGGCCATGCTTGCATTTATTTAGTACAGATGTAATGACAAAGGCCTAAAGCAAACTCCATTTCTGGGTAATTAACATTGTGCCCCCCGCCCCACCCCCGGAGAGAGCAGTCCTCTGCTCCGATGATTAAAGGCCAGGTTCTGAGGCCTAAGTAAACTAACTTATCTAGATCAATTCCCTTCTTGTTATCTACTCTGAGAGAACTCAGCTGTCTTCAGCTACATCCTTTCCCAAAGCTTTTGCAAAACCTCCCAGCCTTCCAAGAAGGTTTGCTGCTTTATATAATTTTTCCCACCCTCACCTATCTCCTACAGTCAGCCCTGTGGAGGCCTTTGTGTTTCCCCCAGTGCTGGCAGCCTGGAGGCTTAGATGGCCAGAAACAAGGCGGTGACAGTGGCCTGCTCAGGGTTTGGGAAACCCAAGGAGCTAAAGGCATCCTCGGGCAACCCAAGAGGACAGGAAGGCTTCTGAGGAGAGACCTCTGAGGTGGGTCTTGGAGAGGAAGGATTTAGGGAGGCAGAGTGGAGGAAGTGAGAGGACACCCCAAGCCAAGAGGGCGGCAGGACCAAAGGCTCAGAAGCCAGAGCGTTGCGGAGGGGCTCTGTGCCATGGGGTGAAGAGTCTGCACAGCAGAAGAGCAGGGGGCCTGTATCAGGGGAGACAGCTGCTCTTTTCCCCCCGTGTGGCCGCCATACTTCTCTGGAGGGCTGGGGCATCCACAACTCTCAGTCACAGCCTCCATCCTAACCCTGCTGGTGCTGTGAGGGTGAGCTGTCTGTGGGCAGGAGGGAAGGCTCTTGGAGGTGAGCCTGGTGGAGAAGGGATAATGGCATCCCAGGCCGAGGAACAGCACAGGCAGAGGCCCGAGGAGAGTTTAAGGAGTGTAGGGGAGGAAATGGCAGAAGATGAGCCAGAAAAAGAAAGGTTAGGGCAGGCCATGGAGGACGTGAGTGGCTGTTTGGGCTTTATCTAGCAGTAGGGGAGCCCTGGCAGGCTTGTGGCTTAGATAGGTGCTTTAGGAAGCCCACCAGCAGTTGCTGGGCCATCCCCAGCAGGACTTGCCAGGTCCTGTTCTAGGCCAGGAAATACAAGAGTGAGCAGGAAAAGACCCCCTCTGAAGGTTCACATCCTAGTGGGGAGAGAGACAAGAAACACAGATATGCAATATAACATGATGTCTGGTTCCAGTAAGAGAAGTGAAGAACAAGCGAGGCCGGGCGCAGGGAGTGACGGGAGGGGCTCCTTTGTAAGGGGAGGTCAGGGGAGGCCTGTCTCAGAGGACACCAGAATGGAGCGCAGGAGCAGCGCATGGCAGTCACAAAGCAGGCCATTTGGGCAGAGGGAGCTGTATAGGGCAGGGCAGGAGTGTGTTCGATGTGTCCTGGGAGCAGCCCGGAGGCCGTCGTATGGCTAGAGTGTGGCAGGTGTCGGGGAAACAGTAGATGTCTCCTGAGTGTGATGGGATACAACCAGATTTCCAGAAGGGACTGACGTGAGCTGACTTAAAAAGGTCAGCGTGCGAAATGGCTTGCAGGGGACAGGAGTGGGAGCAGGGAGACAGGAGACAATGTGTACCAGGACAGCAGAAAGACATCCCGGGTAGCCTGGAACAGGGAGACGGTGTGGAGATGGTGGCAGTGCGATAATGAGAGCGTAGGGCAAGGCCAGCAGGATCCTAGAGTGAGACGGGAGGTAAAGTCACTGGGACTTGGTGCCTCCACGTCAGGGGCAGGGGAAAGGGAGAGGACAAGGGCAACCCGGGAGGTTAAAGATGGGACCGGGGCCAGGCGCAGTGGCTCATGCCTGTAATCCCAGCACTTTGGGAGGCTGAGGCGGGCGGATAGCTTGAGGTCAGGAGTTTGAAACCAGCCTGGCCAACATGGTGAAACCCCGTCTCTACTAAAAAATACAAAAATTGCCAGGCGTGGTGGTGCATGCTTGTAGTCTCAGCTACAAGCCGGGAGGCGGAGGTTGCAGTGAGCCGAGATCGCGCCATTGCACTCCAGCCTCAGTCTGGGAGACAGAGCAAGACCATCTCAAAAAAAAAAAAAAAGGTGGGACCGGGAACAGGTTTCAGGGAGGGAGACTCTTCCCACAAAGACCAGCTTTTCCTCATGCTGTAAAGGGCGGGTTGAGGCCCGGGCATGGGTGGGGCTGCCAGGTGGAGGCCGCTTTCCGCCTGCTCTAGGCAGGACTCCCGGATGTCCGGCGCCCTTTCCTCTCCACCCTTTCTTAGCCAAGAGGCAAGAGCTATGGTTCGGAACTTGGCCACCTGAGGGCAGCACAGAGCCAGGCTCCTGTCTCAGGACTTCTGAGGAAGGGGCGTGGCGTGCAGGGAGAACTGGGTGGGGTAGGGGGTTCTCCCGCAGGGCCACGGTTTCACTGTCAGGGCTGGCTGTGCATCTAGTGGGCAAGGCCGTAGGGTCGACTCCCGGCTCTGCCCCAGTAGCTCTGGGGTCCCAGGAAGCAGAGGTAGGGTACGGACTCCTTTCTGGCATTGGCTTTGGGATCAAGCGAGGTGCCGGATTTGATGTGCCTGGCACACAGCAAGGCAGATAGTTCTACCAGAGTGGCCCGAGCTGAGCCGACCCAGGCCCTGCTCACGTTTCTGGCTCAAGCCTCTTTTTTTTACAGCCCGTGCTTCATCGTCTATTGATAATCCACACACATCCTGTCGCCTCCTGGCTTTGCTCAGCCCCTTCCCCTTGGCTGTAAGGCCCTGTCTGGGGCCTCAGGGAATTTCCCCATTGCCCTTCAGGGGCCCACTCTGAAGGTGTTGCTTCCCGGAAACCCCGATTGAGCCCCTGTCCTTGTGTGTCTGCCGCAGCCTCAGCCTGTCCTACCCATTACTAGTTGCATGGGTTCTTCTTGCCACTGCTTCAAGTGGAGAAGAAGGTGGCTGCTTTGACATGGGTTGTCCTGGATTCCGGTCTTCAAGTTGCTTCAACTTCTTACCTTCGTTTTTCCCCTGGGGCTTGGAGACAATGCGAGCTCCTATGCTGGGCCACGTGAGGTCCGTCTGCAGATTCCAGCCGGGCTGGGGCTGGAGGAGGGCTGCTCACACCTGGCTGTTGCTCTGTCTCACACAGGCCACCTACATTTACATGAAGGCCGCCTACCTCAGCATGTTTGGTAAGGAGGAGTACAAGCCATTCGGGGACGACGAAGTGGAATTATTTAGGTGGGTCTCACCATCGTGCTCCCACTGTGTAGGCCGCTATGGACAGACCAGCCAGGCTATCCTGAGCTGTGGGCACTGCGGAGGGAGGAGTAGGGTGACTCCCTGCCCTCACCCCAGGACTGACCCACCTGCGTGTCCTCCCCTCCCATTGCCACCCCATGCTGCTGCTACTGGTGGTTGGAGCCCTTTGAATTTCTTCAGAAGCTTTCTTTCACAGAAATGGTTTTGTCAATATCATCTCCCTCCAAGTCTCTTTCATGTGGGCAGTAGGACAGATATGGCCACCAAGGTCCGGGGAGGGAAGGTCTTTCACTCTGCTGAGTTAACCTGAGACACTCAGAGAAGCACAGTGGAGAGCTGAGAGTCGAAATCGAACAAACAGGAGTAAACCCAGCCTCTGCTTGTTCTTAGCTGTGTCACCTGGGACAACTTCGGCATCTGTAAAATGGGAATAACAACCTCCACCTCGCAGCACTGTTTTGCAAATCAACTAGATAATAAATGTAAAGAGCCTGGCATAGAACTAGGAGCCTAGAAGCTGCCCGCCAAGTGGTGGCTGTTTTCATTCTTCCTGTACCACCGTATTTGCTTCCTGTGAAGCATCTTTAGAGCAGAGCTCAGCCGTGGCAGGTGGAGGATGGAGCTTGGAGCCTTCCTCCAGTCTTGGTGAGGTTGACCCCAATTTGCAGACCTGGAAGTGGGTATAATATGGGCCTCCTAGGCTACTGCTGTCACAATAATAGGGCATTCATCACTTTCAGAGTGTCTGCTGCTACAGCAGGTTCCATGTCCCCTCTCAGATGACTCTTCCAGAAAGCCTAGGCGGCCAGGTGTCATTACCTTCATTTTAGAGATGAGGAAATTAAGGCCAAGAGAGGTTCTACAGTGAATAAGCAAATGAAGAGTTTGGGGGGACCTCACACCCACATCCAGCTGTTTCCTGTGCCTAAATGGCTCAGGCCTGAGGTCACAACCACACCCAGTGACTGTGGCAGAAATAGGAGGAGGGTGGGATGGAGCTGGGTGGGTGAGGCCCCAGATGTGGAGGCGTGCCTGGTGGCATACCGCATTTTGCTCTGTCCCTGGAAACAGCTGAGAAGGTGAAAACTCTAGAGTCAAGAGTTAATTAAGGGTTTGAGCTGTTTGGTGTTGGGTAGGTCGCACCCTTTCTCTGAGTGTTGGTCTCTCCTGTGAAATCGGGATTAAACTTCTCTTGAGTCCTCCCCGGAAATGGGGCCTGGGAGTGGAGGCGATAACTAGGAGGCAGGACTGGCCCAGGGGTGTTTGGCACACTGGCACCTCTGCCAGCTGGCGGGGAGGAACCCCTTGCCCAGCCATAGGAAGTGGCCAGGTCTTGGGGCAGGGTCTCTAAAATAAGACCATAGCCGCAGGCTATTTCAGACCTAAAAGGCTCTTTAGAGTCCAACACTGTCATTGTACGGATGGGGAAACTGAGGCCCAGAGAGGGGCCAAGCATGGCTAGGTAGGCTGGGGACCCTCCGCCCTCTCCTACTCTTTTTCATCCTCTCCCACCCTCCCCATCTCTTTTGCAGAGCTGTGCCAGGCCTGAAGCTCAAGATTGCTGGGAAATCTCTACCCACAGAGAAGTTTGCCATCCGGAAGTCCCGGCGCTACCTCTCCTCCAAACCTATCTCGCTGCCAGTGCCTGCTCTGGTGGGTAGGAGGTCTGGACTGGCACTGCCCTCCGGGTATAGGATTGTGAGGATTCACTGAGAGCCACAGCCAGGGGGAAGTGGATGAGGAGAAAGACCTTCATGCCTCAGGGACCTGGGGAGGGTTTCGCAATTCACCTGCGAGTCTGACCCAGCCTCTACCCCTTAGAAAGAGATGGTCCACTGGGGCTGGGAGTGGAGAGACAGGCAGGCTGCAGATAAGAGGCAGAGAGGGTCGCCCTCCTGGACAGATAGCCCCATGTCGCTGTGCCGAGGCAGAGGCATCACCCGGCTGCCTGTGATCCCAGCCTGACTGCTCCAGTCTTGTCACAATGATTTTCATTGTTTTCACGGTCCCCCTCACTGGGCCAGCGTCTTCACGTTATATTCAACTCTGAACTCACATAATAGCCAGCATTGTTATTGAGCACTTGCTCTGTTCAAGGCTGCCCACACCCATTGCCTGTTGCCTCATTTGAGCCTCACATCAACCCTGTGAGTAGGCGCTGCTGGTATCTCCATTTTACAGATGGGGGTAACAAGACCTAACAGATCAGTAGAAAGATCAAATAACTTGCCCAGGTCACACAGCTGGTGAGTTGGAGTCAGAATTTGAACTCAGCAGTCTCGGCCCACAGCCCATATTCTGAGCCATGGTTGTGATGCTAATTCTATGCACGATTTGAGTAGGCATCCGATAAAGTTCCAGCTTGCTAAGAGTCCTTGTTATTCAAGTAGTAAGGGAGCCAGAAAAGTAGAAGGAAGCCTGCTTGAGAGACCTTTTTTTGTACTGTTCATTAACTGAATAGCCTTAGGTCGGTTCCCTCTTCCCCTTATGTAAAATGGCTATAATAATAGATTCCTTTCCCATTTCACAGAGCAGTTATGAGCATGAACAAGAAAAATGTGTTAAATACTTTATCAGTTGAAAAGGTCAATATTTGGCAGGGCGCGGTGGCTCATGCCTGTAATCCAAGCACTTTGGGAGGCCGAGGCGGGCGGATCATGAGGTCAGGAGATCGAGATCATCCTGGCTAACTTGGTGAAACCCTGTCTCTACTAAAAACACAAAAAATTAGCCAGGTGTGGTGGCAGGCGCCTGTAGTCCCAGCTTCTTGGGAGGCTGAGGCAGGAGAATGGTGTGAACCCAGGATGCGGAGCTTGCAGTGAGCCGAGATCACGCCACTGCACTCCAGCCTGGGCGACAGAGTAAGACTCTGTCTCAAAAAAAAGGTCAATATTTCTATAGTTTGATTCAGCATTTACAACCTGAGTATTTCTAAAGTTTTAAAATATTTTATGGTTTAAAATATACAATAGACCAGTCATGGTGGCTCACGCCTGTAATCCCAGCACTTTGGGAGGCAGAGGCGGGCGGATCACCTGAGATCGGGTGTTTGAGACCAGCCTGACCAACATGGAGAAACCCCGTCTCTACTACAAATACAAAATTAGCCGGGTGTGGTGGTGCATGCCTGTAATCCCAGCTACTCGGGAGGCTGAGGCAGGAGACTCTCTTGAACCCAAGAGGTGGAGGTTGCCGAGATTGTGCCATTGCACTCCAGCCTGGGCAACAAGAGTGAAACTCCGTCTCAAAAAAAAAAAAAAAAAAAATCCAGTAAAGCTATTGTTATCAAGTGGAACAGGAGGATATTGTAGGAAGGGCAAGGGAAGCAACTATACCAAAAACTTAGGGGAGAATTTCCCAAACTGTAATCTGCAAAATACTATTTATGCATTAAATGATTTCATTTGGGAAAGACTGGCCTAAACACAGTTTATATACTATAGACTTTCTTGGAGTCTTATATATTAATCTAAGAAGAAGCTTAAAGATATGTTTTTTCTCTAACTTATTTGGCCACAGAATCATTTTTAATTTTAATTTTTATTTATTTGTGGGGAAGGGAAGAATCCTTTTTTAAAAAATGAAACATTTGCTGGCCGGGTGTGGTGGTTCATGCCTGTAATCCCAGAACTTTGGGAGGCCAAGGTAGGTGGATCATTTGAGAGCAGGAGTTCAAGACCAGCCTGGCCAACATGGTGAAGTCCCATCTTTACAAAAAATTCAAAAATTAGTGGGGCATGGTGTCATGCATCTGTAGTCCCTGTTCCTCAGGAGGCTGAGGTGGGAGGATAGCTTGAGCCCAGGAGGTCAAGGCTGCTGTGAGCTCTGATAGTGCCATTGCGCTCCAGCCTGGGTGACAGAGTGAGACCCTGTCTCTAAAATAAAATAAAATTAAACATTTGCTAACTTGGAACCAGAGAACAATTTGAGAAATACTGGTCTAAACTGAAATTCCCTTCCTAGAACATAATAACAAGAACCACAACAATAATGTCTTTCTAGAACTTTATGGCTACAAAGCGTTTTCACATCCATTACCTGGTTTGACAGTTTAGGAAATGCGCATTTAAGCAAACACAGTTACTATGAATGAAAGTTTAATTTAGTATTATTATTTTATTTTATTTATTTTTAAATATTTATTTTAGAGGTGGGGGTCTCACTGTGTCATACAGGCTGGAGTGTAGTGGTGATATCATAGCTCACTGCAGCCTCAAACTCCTGGGCTCAAAGGATCTTCTCATGTCAGCCTCCTAACTACAGGCGAGCACCCATGCTTAGCTACTATTTTTATTTTTTTGTAGAGACAGTATTTTACTGTGTTGCCCAAGGTGGTGGTGAACTCCAGGGCTCAAGAGATCCTCTCACCTCAGCCTCCCAAAGTGCTGGGATTACAGGCATGAGCCACCATGTTCAGCCTAATTTAGTATTCTGAGCTTCCTGGCAGTCAAGGCAAAAACAAACAAAGAAAAGGAACCAGTAACCTAACAAAGACAAGGTGGAAATAAATTTTTTTTTTTTTTTTTTTTTTTTTTTGAGACAAGAGTCTCACTCTGTCACCCAGGCTAGAATGCAGTGGGGTGATCATAGCTCACTGCAGCTTAGATTTCTTGGGCTCCAGCAATCCTCCCACCTAAGCCTCCCAAGTAGCTGGGACCCCAGGCTTGCACCACCATGCCTGGCTAATTTTTTTTTTTTTTTTTTGGTGGAGATGGGGTTTTGCCATGTTGTCCAGGCTGGTCTCGAACTCCTGAGCTCAAGTGATCGTGATCCACCTGCCTAAGCCTCCCAAAGTGCTGGGATTACAGGTGTGAGCCACCATATCTGGCCCCAAGATTTTTTTTTTTTTGACGGTGTCTCTGTCACCCAGGCTGGACTGCAATGGCGCCATCTTGGCTCACTGCAACCTCCGCCTCCTGGATTCAAGCAATTCTCCTGTCTCAGCCTCCTGAGTAGCTGGGATTACAGGCACGTGCCACCACACCCGGCTAGTTTTTGTATTTTTAGTAGAGATGGGGTTTCACCATGTTGGCCAGGCTGGTCTCGAACTCCTGACCTCAGGTGATCCACTCACCTTGGCCTCCCAAAGTGCTGGGATTACAGGCGTGAGCCACTGTGCCTGGCCCCCCAAAATTTTTTTAATTAAAAAAAAAAATCTAAGAAAAAGAAAAAAAGGAATCAGATGTGTTTTAAGAGTCTCAATGATGGTAACTTCATTCTAAAGGAAATGGAATATGAGTGTCATTATTTAGCCTGTTGCTTTGGGAGAATAGGAGTAGGAGAGAAGGTGACATAGCCTTAAATTCTGTTGTCCTGAAATGTGTGTATGGAGCATGGCCTGGTCCTCAAAGGACAGAAAGTGGCCCCAGAGAGGTTGGGAGAAAGGACGTAATAGCACTCAGGGAGGGCATGAGCAGAAAAATAGCTGGAAAACTTCGGCAGCTATGAGCAGTACAGTACGGACACTGGTCCATCTTACATCTGCACTGGGGTAAGGTGAGAGCTCAGTACGAAATCAACGATAAGGCTCCCATGATCCCCTCAGGCCCACAGCTTCACAGGCTGACTGAGACCTGTTATGGATGATTAGAGCTAGAAGGGCCTTTAGGGAACCTCTGATCTGAACTGCCCATTTTGTAGATGGGAAAACTGAGGCCCCATTAGGAAAGAAGCCTGGGACTAACTTGCCCTCCTGCCTTCAGGAAATGATGTACATCTGGAATGGCTACGCTGTGATTGGGAAGCAGCCGACACTCACAGATGGGATGCTTGAGATCATCACCAAGGCGGAAGAGATGCTGGAGAAAGGCCCAGGTGACTTCCCTCAGGCCCTTGAGCCTGCCAGGCTAGGTCAGGTCTTTACCGCTGAAGGTTCCCTTTGCCAAAAATGTCCTTCCCCCGTTCCCTACCCTGGCAATTCTCCTTTCCCTCTCTAGACTGAGCTCCTCCAAGCAGCTGTTCCTTGTCCCCTTGGTAGGGTCAAAGCCTCTGGGCTCCCACAGCCATGGGGCTTCCTTCAGTCCTGACCTCACTGTATTGTCATTGTCTCAGTATTTGCCTTTCCTTCTCAGATGTGACCCCCCCTGAGGACAGGGACCATGTCTGATTTACCTGTGTCCCTTTGACCTAGCACAGAGTAGGGGGCTCTATAAGTAACTGCTGGAGAAATGAACAAGTCTGTCTTTTTCCCTCACATCCCTATTTGCAGAGAACGAGTACTCAGTGGATGACGAGTGCTTGGTGAAATTGTTGAAAGGCCTGTGTCTGAAATACCTGGGCCGTGCCCGGGAGGCCGAGGAGAATTTTAGGAGCATCTCTGCCAAGTAAGTGCCTCTGCAGCTGCTCCTGCTGGGTCTGAGTCTCCTGGGTAGAATATTCAGGGCTTCTCCATCCTCATGCCCACTGCAGTGGCTGACCCTAGCCAACCCCCGCTCACCACACAGGTACTAAACTAGTGTCCACTCTTGCCAGGACTTGTGCCGGGACCTGTACAGATAATTCAGACCTAGCCTCCCAGTGCCACCAAATTGCGTGACTACAGGAGCACATACACGTTGTTTCGAGTGAACAGTGTGCCCTGGAGTTTGTAATTCAGCAACTCTGTCCTTGCCCTTGGGGAGGGCAATATGACAGATGGCAAGCTGTAGGCAGCCCAACCAAGGCTCATCAGGACCATGCTAGAGGAAAGCAGAGAGGACAGCAGGTGCCCGAGGAGGGACCTGAACTTCATGGGAGGTACTAGGAAAGGCTTTCCAAGGCTGACGTTGAAAGTGGGAAGTTCATCAGGCGGAGAAAGCAAGGGAGGACAGGTTTGAGGTGGAGTAGGGACAGCATGCACCAGTGCATGGACACAGGAAAGACACCTGAGGCGGGGTGACGGCGATGGGGTCTTTGCCTGCCTGGGTGAAGTCATAGAGAGAAAAGATTGAAGATGAAATAAGGAGGGATAGAATGAGAAGGGCCTGGATGTTTTGTTCACAAGGCTAAATTGTATTCCAAAGAAGAGAGCTAGAAAGGGCACCGGGCAAGGAAGATATCTCCAGGGCAGCATGGAGGTCGGGTCAGAGGGGACAGGTCAGAGGGGACAGGTCAGAGACAGGAGACTTTACAGTTCAATAAATCATTCAACCTGGAGAAAGGGAGGTTGGGACTTAGGTGGCGGTGGATTAAGGACATGACAGGAGCCATAAGTTGTCAGGGAGCTGGAGCCCAAGGTTACACACAGGATGGGAAGGCTTTGCTGTGGATCCCAGCCTTTCTATAGCTTGGTAGTGGGAACCTCCCAAAATTGCAGTTCAGGTTAGGAAATCCTCACGTGCAGTTTGGGAAAGGCTCAGGAGGAGGAACCTGAGCCATGTCTTCTGTTCTGCAGTGAAAAGAAGATTAAATATGACCACTACTTGATCCCAAACGCCCTGCTGGAGCTGGCCCTGCTGTTTATGGAGCAAGGCAGAAATGAAGAGGCCATCAAACTCTTGGAATCTGCCAAGTAAGCCTTGGGTAACCTATCTGTCCTTTGCTCCCTCTGAACTCAGCTCAGGAACTGGCTGGGGACAGAGTTGCCCAGACAGCAGTGAGTGGAGTTGCTAGCAAGGCCAGTCTGGCAGTCTAGAGGGCGGACCTGTGTCCCTCGGAATCCAGCTGTCACCTGTCATAGGAAGACTTCCTTCTTAATGTATGAATGGGCAGTTAGACCCCCAGAGGCAGGAAGTAAGTTCCCAAGGTCACATCAGAAGCCAGCTGCACGGCTGTGTGAGGACCCATGACTCCTGCCTTCCAGGCTAGAGGTCTATTCCCTACAACCACCCCTTCAAGCTTAGGAACCCAGGAGGACCAGGAGTGGTTCCAGTGGGCATGATACCAGGGGTGAGGGGCCACAAACCCTCCTGGTTAACTCTCCCACTGGGCAGGGCTCAATGCTCTCGGGACCCAGGAATTTCTCTACAGTCCTTCCTTGGCTGGTGGGGCTCACACAGCTCCAACAGGAGGAAAAGCATCTCTGGGAGCAAGCAGGCTCATGTGTCTGATTCTCTGCTCAATTCCAGGCAAAACTACAAGAATTACTCCATGGAGTCAAGGACACACTTTCGAATCCAGGCAGCCACACTCCAAGCCAAGTCTTCCCTAGAGAACAGCAGCAGATCCATGGTCTCATCAGTGTCCTTGTAGCTTTGTGCAGCAGTTCTGGGCTGGAAGACAAACAGACAGCTGGACAGAGCTCCTGGAAACATTTCAAAAGATCCCCTCCCCCTGCCCTGCCCTGCCTTTGGGGTCCACCGGCGCTCCAGTTGGATGGCACGACATGGGTATCTGTGCAGAAGCCAAGCTTTTCACCAGTGTGGCCAAGGGCCTTTGCCAAGGGCAGAGCAGGTGGAGCCCTCTGCCTGCCTATCACACATACGGGTACTTGCTTTTCACTGTGATGTTTAAGAGAATGTATGAACAGTTTACATTTTCCTTAGAAATACATTGATGGGATCACAGTTGGCTTTAAAAACCAACAACCACCAACCACCTGTAAGTCTTTGTCTTCACCTATTATCATCTGGAGGTAAATCTCTTTATATGATGATGCCAAAGGGCAAATTGCTTTTCAAATTCAGCAAGTTCTCAGCTTGTGTGACTGAAGGGCCTTCAGAGGACCTGAGGAGTGCCTGGGAGAGGCTGAGCCTCAGGCTTCAATGCTTCTGGGGTTGGGCACGAGGATGCACACAGACATCCACTACCTTACTACTCACACTTCATTTCACTCCTTTTGTAAATTTCCAATTTAGAAATCAAGCACGTCTTTTTAGTGAGAGAAAATCTGAGCTCTTGTGTAGAAAAATCCATCTCCACCAGTAGGAAATGCCAAGGCTTGATGGAAGAGCCGTGTGGCCCTTTCTGTGCCAAAGCCAGGAATTTTGGGGGGCAGGAGGAGGTTCTCAGAATCCAGTCTGTATCTTTGCTGTATGCCAAACTGAAACCACTGGGAATAATTTATGAAAGATAAAAATCTTCTGTACTTCACTCCAAGGTACATTTACTTACTGACAGCATTTTTCTTAGAACTGTTATTCTTGACCTGTTGTGTATGTGTTAGATTCTTCAATTAAGAGACGAGAGACATTTAAGTGATAAAATTTATGCCCTTAAGGGATCGTGCATCATATATTTCAATAAAATATGTGTTGCAGGCATCCTTAGGCCGGGCAGAAAGTCTTAATCAGAAGCCACACGGCCTATGTATGTTTTATTTAGACCACACAATGTTTTAAACTTTTTGAATAAGTTACCAGCATTCACAAATGGGGAGATTTCACAAATGAATCTGGTTCCTGGCCTGTAATTTAAAAAAATAAAAAATAAAAAAAGATCTGGCAACATTGAGCCGCATTCCCATGAGGCAACAATCAGCTAGAGCTAAGTCGCGGCTACTTTAAACACTTCTGTTACCTTTCTGGCCCCTCAAAGCATCTGAATTTGCAACCTCTGGGATTGTTAAAGTGAGAACTCAGGTTCAATGACCAACACCAGGTTTTACCCTTCACTTTCTAATGTCAGCACACTTCAACCTAACCATTTCCCTTTAGGGAAAATCATGTACCCAGTAAAAATATTCATCTGTGAAACGTTACTCCCCAAATGCATGAATGCAATTTCTATAAGAGAAAAACCAGTTAAACTTTCCAATCTTCCAGCATTGCTGTATTTAGCAAACACAGTATCTGCCAAGGGGCTGGGTTAATATATAAAGATTCAGTTGGTCGGTCATGATGGCTCACTCCTGTAATCCCAGCACTTTGGGAGGCTGAGGTGGGTAGATCACGATGTCAGGAGATCGAAACCATCCTGGCCAATATGGTGAAACCCTGTCTCTACTAAAAATTACAAAAAAAATCAGCTGGGCGTGGTGGTGCATGCCTGTAGTCACAGCTACTTGGGAGGCTGAGGCAGGAGAATCGCTTGAACCCGGTAGGCAGAGGTTGCAGTGAGCCAAGATCACGTCACTGCACTCCAGCCTGGCAACAGAGGGAGAATAGAGTTTTGTTAGAATGAAACAAAAGAATATCCTCCACAGAGGGTAATCCCTTTGCAAGCTATCTCTTCTCCAAAGCCTGGATGCTGGGAGACCAACCTGTTTCTAGGCTCCTGGACAGGACAGGGTAGGGTGGTAGAGACAGGCTGCAGGAGGACAGGCCTCCATGGCTTCCCCACATGTTGGAATGCTGCCTGGTGCTGTATCAAAGCAGCACTACTCACAGGACACCAAACATATACTTTGGAAAATTGCAGTTTACAAAAAAAAACTTTATCTCAACGTTAATTTCAGGTGCGTTTTTTTGTTTTGTTTTGTTTTTGTTTTTGTTTTTGTTTTTTGAGACAGAGTCTCACTATGTCACCAGGCTGGAGTGCAGTGGCACGATCTCAGCTCACTGCAACCTCTGCCTCCCAGGTTCAAGCAATTCTCCTGCCTCAGCCTCCTGCGTAGCTGGGAGTACAGGCACATGCCACCATGCCCAGCTAATTTTTGTATTTTTAGTAGAGGTGGGGTTTCACCATGTTGGCCAGGATGGTCTCGATCTCCTGACCTCGTGATCCACCTGCCTCGGCCTCCCAAAGTGCTGGGATTATACAGGCGTGAGCCGCCGCGCCCCGCCACGGGTACTTTCATTTCAAAATTTTGTCAAGTTGATTTCCTTGTCAACATTTGCTGTTGATTTCCTGCTGGGCTTCATTAATTAACCCTATTTCACTTTTACCCTGCTGCCCTGATAAGATAAATCAGTGGGTTTTGCCTCCTATATCCCACCTGCAAATTCTGAGATAATCTATCAAAAAAAAAAAAAAATATATATATATATATATATATATATATATGTGTGTGTGTGTGTGTGTGAAGGACAATGAAAACACTGGGTTTCTAACATCACCATATCCTTCTTATGCAAGGGCCTTAGGAAGTGAAAATTCTGTCATAGGCTCTCAGTGAGTCATCTGTGGTCACTGCTTCTCTAATAGTGCAGACCTTCTCAGCACATCTGCCGTGGAAAGGCCGCAGATCAGGTGGAAGGTTTGAGCCTGGAAATAAGGAGATCTGAATTCCGGTCCTGACTTTGCTACTGATTTTCAGCGTAACCTTGGGAAAGTCACAGATACTCTAAAAATGAGCAATTTGGACAAGATTAAGGCTCTTTCCTGCCTTCTACAGTTTATGTTGCAAAATGAGGCAACAGATACACTTCCCTACCTTTCTGCTAAAGCCTTGCGTCCCTAAGCAATTCAACCTGAAATAATAGACTTCCTGAGGGGCTGTACAGTAGCTAGAACACCCAGAGAGCAAGTAATCCTCATTTAGAGAAAGTCTAAATCCTGTGCCCCACAGATGAATTCAGTTGTTAGGGAAGTAGCAACCATGTAACATGATCTGCACAGGTCCTTGGCAACAGAAAGTCTACCTCAGCCTCTCTCTGGTCACAGGCAGAGTGGCTTCTAGCAGTGTGCTGGGCCCTCAGCTCTCCTGTGGGTGGGCAGGTTGCCCTATTATCTCTTGAGCCAGAATGGGAGTGTTTCCAAGACAGTTATCATCATTCACAGCAGAGAGCCACAACCTGACATCAAAGCCAGGATCCTAAAAGGCCAACACCAACTCAAGATTTGGCTGAGGTCCAGGTGGGAGAGTCCCAAGTGAAGAACGGCATCAAGAGGTTTTAAGAAAGCTCCAGTGCACTGAGTACTAGAACCATTCAAGGGAATCATCCAGACCCTTTCCTCTGGAGTTACTCCCAAGTTCATTTCTTCTAAGATGATGGGAGTCGATAGTCTTTTCCTTGTTTACTTCAAATTTAAAGCCTAACAGTGCCTTCTCAACATCCTTAGCATCATCACATTAATTCAGTCATACATGAGAGGTGTCTGGATTCTGAAATCCAAGTAGCAAATGGGAACTTCTCACGCCCACCCTCAGATGCAGCTTTCCAAGGTCAGAAAGTGCCTTCTGCTCGGGTTAGCATGGCTTGTTTGAATTCCAGTGCAAAGTTCATTACTGATCAATAGGCTAGGTCCACAAACAACCTCATTTGGGGGCTCGAAAAATCCATTTCTAAATGAGTAATCTATGACTGCTTCCACTGCATAAAGTCAACTGTTAAGTGACAAAATAAGAATAGAGCTCTTTGGGAAGACAGAATTAACTATTGAAGGTCTCTATGGACTGTTAAAAGTTGATGTTTGGCTGGGCACAGTGGCTCACATCTGTAATCCCAGCACTTTGAGAGGCTGAGGCAGGTGGATCAAAAGGTCAGGAGATTGAGACCATCCTGGCCAACATGGTGAAACTCCATCTCTACTAAAAATACAAAAATTAGCCGGGCGTGGTGGTGGGCACCTGTAGTCCCAGCTACTCAGGAGGCTGAGGCAGGAGAATTGCTTGAACCCAGGAGGTGGAGGTTGCAGTGAGTCGAGATCGTGCCTCTGCACTCCAGCCTGGTGACAGAGCAAGACTCTGTCTCAAAAAAAAAAAAAAAAAAAAAAAAAAAAAAAAAGTGGATGTTTAAGTTTAATCAGAGACATCACAGCTAATGTCTCACGAATGACTAGATCAGGTTTGTTTTTCTTCCTCCACATTAACAAACACTTCAGAACATCAGACACCATATGCTCTGGGGAAAAGAATAAAAGCTAATATTTATTAAATACTCATTATGTGCCAGTTGCTATTCTAAGTACTTTACATTTATATAATCCTCATAATATTTATGTAATCCTTTGGAGTGGGGCCATTGTCATTTTGCAGATGGCAAAACTGAGGCACGGGTAAATAAGTTGCCTCAGATCACACGATTATGCAGCAGAAAGATTTGAAGACAGGCTGCTGAACTCTAAAGCCCGTACTTTGCTACACTGTTGGTCAAGCTGTAAAATCCTGTGTAAAGTTAGACCCAGCTTACACTGACTCATGGGCCACTGTGAAAATGGAAGAACTACTGGCTAATAGCTCAGCCGTTGGCGATGCTCGGCTGCAAACACATGGAGCATGTCTGTGTGGCATGGTTCCCTTTGGCACTTGGCATCATGAAGTAGGGAGAGGGCCTAACTTGGAAAAAGCCAAAAGAAAAGCAATCCTTAAACAACAGTATCTGCTCAGAAAATCATTGAGGGATGATGGAGGAAAAGGCATGATCCAGTCCCCACTTGGATAGGTAGAGTTCCAGTCAACTACTCCACAGATGGGAAGTGAAGCCTGCACTGAGGCTTGATGCATAGCAAGTCACGTGCTAGGAGGAGCTTGGTATAAGACAATAAGAAAGAGGACCACTGGCAAACTGGGAAGCATATGATGCCAAAGGCACTAAAAGCTATTTTATAGTTTAAGCACTTAGGAGTGCTTGGCTAAGCACATCACATTTGTGGGTCAAAGTGACCCATGGGCCACAGCTTTGTCCTCCTGGTACTGAGATGACTTCCTACAGTTCTCTGGAAAAGAGGTTGTGAGCAAATTCACAGTATGAGAAAGCCCGGTTTACTAAAAATATCCAGCTTTTTTTTTTTTGAGACGGAGTTTCGCTCTTGTTGCCCAGGCTGGAGTGCAATGGAATGATCTCGGCTCACCGCAACCTCTGCCTCCAGGGTTCAGGTGATGTTCCTGCCTCAGCCTCCCGAGTAGATGGGATTACAGGCATGTGCCACCATCCCTGGCTACTTTTGTATTTTTAGCAGAGATGGGGTTTCTCCATGTTGGTCAGGCTGATCTCAAACTCCCGACCTCAGGTGATCTTCCCATCTTGGCCTCTCAAAGTGCTGGGATTACAGGTGTGAGCCACTGTGCCCGGCCTACCCAACTTTTAAGTTCAATTAATTACATGGGGTAGTGGATAAAAGCACAACTTAGTCAAACTACTTCACTCCATTTAGAGAATCAGTTTACTCTTAGGCAAAGTGGGGTTTAATGCCAACTGCTTCCCAAGGGTTGTTGAGGATAAAGAGCAAGCATGTAAATGAATAGGCTAGCATGGCCCCAAGTATACAACATTACAGTAAATTTATTGGCTTACTTCTACTGTGCGAAGGCAATGGTGGATTTGGCCTAACGGATGACTGAATCGGGGGCACTAGTGCCACAATTAAGCTTTCTTTACCTCTTGGCTTTTGCTCCT